CCAGGTTGGTAGCGGACCGGCGTGCTGCAGGCCCCTCCCCTGGAGCCGAGCGGGTGCGCGCTGGGCGGTATTGCGGTCTCCCGGGCTGGCGAGTGTGGCTGGTGTGAATGCAATCGAGAGCTCTAGCCTTTCTTGCGGAAATGTGAGCCCATCGAAATAAACCCCGGGGGGAACGGCTTGCTCGCTGAACACTGAAGCCGTGCCCTGTAGTGGCCGCGACAGTCTGACCCCGACCTTATGGATCGTCCGTGAAAGAGGTGGCCTCGATGGCCGGGAGGACGCTGGGACCTGGGGAGTAAAGCCTTGCGTTTTGTGACTTTATAGGTCTGAGGGGCAGCGCTGAGAATGTGCGGGCGAACGTCCTGCCACTTGCCTAGAGATGTTCTCACGAGGGCCTGTGCCTATCACGATCGCCAGGGCAGGCGGCAGATCCCGCAGTGGAGGGACCCCGAGAAGTACTGCCCCTCCTACAACAAGAGCCCTCAGTCCAGCAGCCCAGTGCTTCTCTCCCGGCTGCACTTTGAGAAGGTAAGGACTGGGTCACTGTGTCAACACCGTCCTAGCTTCTGGCTCAGCATGGTGATGGTGATTCCTCTGACTCCTGATTCCTGTGATGTCTGCCCAGCCTCCGGAATGACCTTGAAAGCAGCCTTTAAAGGCTGATTCAGGCCCTAATTGAAAATCATTCTGGGCCTTGGTAAGGAGTAAGTCAGTATTCTCCAGGCTCAATTAAACTGTTTCAATGCATGCCCGATTTTTATGAACCTCATAGTTGAATACATTTAAAAATTCTTTTGAGACAGAATCATACTATATATGTAGCTCTGGCTGTCCTGGAACTCACTATATAAGCCAGGCTGGCTTCAAACTTAACAACAAACCTCTTGCCTCTGTCTCCAGAATTCTGTATTACAGGTGTGTGTCACTCTACCCGGCTTGAATCCCCCCCCCCTTTTTTTTTTTTTTTTTTTTGGATAGCCTTCAAATATTATTGATTTATCAGTGTCATCTGAGTGTCTTTAAAAAACAAGCAGCAACAACAAAAAACCCCACCCAAGTGTGGTGGTGTGGTGGTTCACACCTTTAATCCCAGCACTAAGTAAACAGAGGCAGGCAGATCTCTGTGAGTTGGAGGCCAGCCTGGTCTACACAGTGAGTTTCAGGCTAGTCAAGGCTGCATAGCGAAACTCTGTCTCAAAAAAAAAAAAAAAAAATTTGGGAGCCTGTGAAAGGACTCAGTGGATGAGCGTGCGGTCAAACCTGACAGCCTGAATTTGATCCCCGAAGCCCACACGGTGGAAGGAGAGAACCTGCTCCTGCAAGCTGTCCTCTGAGCTCCACTCCCACTCAGTGGCAGAGAGTGGACACATAACATAGATAAATGTAAAGAAAAAGAATTAATGTGATTGAGGCAGGTAATGTTGCTCATTGATATAAAGCATATTTCATATTCTCAGAGCCTTTGGTTCAGTCCTAGCAGATGAAGAATATTTTTTTATTTTTTAAATATTTTAAACTTTTTTAATGTATAGAAATGTTTTGTCTGTGTGCATGTATGTATGTGCAGCAGGTATGTGCCTGGTGCCCTCAGAAGTCATGGCTTCAGATACCCTGGAACTGGAGTTACAGAAGGCCACCGTGTGAGTGCTTGGAATTAAACCCAGATCCTCTCCAAAAGCAGCAAATCCCCTTAACTGCTAAACAGACCATGGTCCCTGTTCCAGTGGGTGGATCTTGGGGAGCAGGAATGGGAAAATGGAGCCCCTAGCAAACATAACCTCCTTTGGGTCATTTGAATTTGCCCATGTAGTGTTTGACTGCACATCTGTAATATGATTTGTTTAAATTGCTAGGGTTTCTTAATTTGGTAAATATTTGATACTTTATTTTTCTCAAACCTATAAATTCTAAAACAAAATTAGGAGCATTTCAGCAGTTTAACTGCCAGTGTATATGTATAGATAGCAATATTTGTATTTGAAACCACTGATTTGCAAAATACTTCCTCTTTTTTTTTTTTTTTCATCTACCACAGTGCCACCAGCTGTTCTATTCCAAATTCAAAACTTGTAGAGGAAAAGATGACTAATACTGAGCAATACTATACGTATTTTAGCTTCTTGGCCACTTTGTATCCATTGCCCTAGTGTTTGGGTTGGTTTGTGCAATGATGAAAAAACTCACAAGGTGTCCAGTAGAATTTGTGAGAACAAGATGGTAGCCAGAAGTTTCTCCAGTCCTGCCTGGCCCTGCAGTTGGGACAAATCTCTCCCACCCGAACTCCTCAGCTGCTTAGTCCCAAGTACACACAGAGGCTTATATTACTTACAAACTGTGTGACCTGTGGGTCAGGCTTCTTGTTAGCTAGCTCTTATAACTTAAACCATTTCTATTAATCTGTATGTTGCCACGTGGCTGTGGCGTTATCAGTCTGCTGGCATTTCATTGCTCCTTGGGCAGCTGACTGCCCTTCTTTCTGTGTCTCCGCTTGGATTTCCCGCCTGGCTGTAAGTTTTCTTGCCATAGGACAAAATAGCCTTATTTATCAACCAGTAAGAGCAACACATATTCACAGCGTACAGAATGACATCCCACAGTACAAGATTTTTTCGACCAAGACATCACTGACATTTAAAAAAATTTTATTTTTACATGAATAGGTGTTTTGCCTGAATGAATGACTGCACCATGTGCATACAGTGTCTGTGGAGGCCAGAAGACCCAGAATTGGAGTTAACAAATACTTGTGAGCCATCATGTGGGTGCTGGGAATAAAACTTTGGTCCTCTAGAATAGCACCCAGTGCTTTTACCCACTGAACAATCTCCCAGACCCACTGCTGACATTTTAATGGGTGGGATAATTCCTTGTTATAGAGAGCCATCCAGTACATTGTAAAATGTTTTAGCAGTCCCCTGGCCTCTACCCACTAGATACCTGTAGCAATCTTAAGCTGGAGAAACTAAATGTCCCTTAGCATTACGTGAGGTGTCTGAAGGGTTGTACATGTTGAACATTGTCTCCATTGTTTGATTGAAGTCCCCTTATCAGCTAGGGAAAGAGAAAACACTCAGAATCATCCCAAGATGCCAATCAGAGATCAGCCTTAGAATCTGACCTAAAAATAATAATCTGTGGCCTGCTGTATTAACTTCTGTGAAAAATTAATGCTCTGGGCATTCCTGGTGTAAACTCCTCACTCATCTTAGGTTGTGTCTACTCTTCCATTTCTCTTGTCTATATCCAGTACCTTTGATGAGACCTCCACCCCTCCTTTCTCTGTTCTCTCTCACATACCACTCTCCGCTCTGTGTGTGTGTGTGTGTGTGTGTATGTGTGTGTGTGTGCGCGCGCGCGCGCGTGTGTGCGTGTGTATGAATCACATATCTGGCCTTAACCTGTGGGATCTTATATTATGATTCAATCTCATTTTTCATTTATGTGGCACAGAGAGAGTGGATGTGTGTTGAGAACTGCTGGAGGCAGTTCTCTCCTTCCACCACTTGGGTTCCAGGGATTAGAGTCAAGTTGTCAGACTTAAGTGACAAGCAACTTTTGACCCACTAAGCCATCTTATCTTACCAGCTCACAACCCAGTGTTTTTATGTCTGTGTGGCTTCATGTTAAAGTACAGGCAATTTGCTGGGCCTTGAAACGCATGCCTATAATTCTAACTTAGGCAGATGATCAGAACGAAGTTCAAGGTTATCCTTGGGTACATAGGGAATGTGAGGCCAGTCTGGGATACATGAGACCCTGTCTCAAAAATAGAAAAGAAAAAGAAGAAAGAGATGGCAGATGGCTGGGCAGTTAAGAGTTTTTATTGTTCTTTCAGAGGATGCTTCCCATGTACTAGCCTCTCACCCATCTCCTCCTTCCAGTGAACTCCTTCTTCACAAAAAGTCCCCCCATACTCTCATGTCTGAGGTGGGGGGTGCATTAGTTAGGGTGGCTTGCATGAACAGTAGGGGGTTACTAACTTGAGCAAGGGCAGCTTACCAGTGGCTACACCACTGAGGAATATGAATCTTCCCCCAACAACCTTACCTCCCTCCAGCTTCTCAGGGAGGGCTGGGGCTGTTTGGCCCTCTCCATGGTGGAATGTTGAATGTTGGTGGGCCCCTTCTTGAACAGGTCTTGTGTGAGTATCCAGTGCTGCTCTTGCATGGGTACAGCAGCCATGTTATTTCCAGAAGAGAGTTTCACAGCACTCCTTCTAGTCATTCCACCTTTTTTTGTTCATTTTTTCAGGACAGGATTTCTTTGTGTATCCTTGGCTGACCTGGAACTCTCCTTGTAGAGCAGGTTGGCCTGTAACTCAGAGATCTGCCTGCCTCCCGAGTGCTGGGATTAAAGGTGAGTGCCACCACCTCCAGCTTCTGAGTGCTAGGATTAAAGGCAAATACCACTACACCCAGCTTAGTCCTTCCACTGTGACATTCTTTGGTTTGAAATTCTGACAATTTCATACATGAATATAATGTCCCCATTGCCTTCTCAACCCTGTCTGCTACTCTTTTCTTCATCCTTCTACTTTTTCCCCTCTCCAATTTTTCCATTCTTTTTCTTCTCTCTTCCATGATGTTCCCTGTGTCTTACAAGGGATCATATAGGTGTCCCATTTAGAACTGAACACTAAGAAGTCATTCTCAGTACTCTGACACCCCCACCCCACCTTCCATGCATTAACCATCATCCTCCGCATTTGGAAGCTTCTCTAACCAAGGCTGAGAACAGCACTGATCTAAGTAATAAGTAAATAAATAATTTTTTAAAGTAAATATTTAGCTTGACACCATGTCCATTTATCAAAAAGAAGACTAATGGTATCCCTCCTTGGGCCTATGACTTCTTCAGACAGGGTTTGCAGTGTAGCCTAGGTTAGCCTGAAATTCACAATGCATCTGCATCAGCTTCCCAGGTATTGGGATTACAGGTGTTTTCTGCCCACCACTCTTTGGTCTACCTTTTCCTTTAATTTTTTTTTTTTTTTTTTTTTGTGACAGGGTATCATTATGTAGACCAGGCTAGCTTTGAACTCACAGAGAACTGCCTGCCTCTGTCTCTCAGGTGCCAGGATTAAAAGCCTGTACTACCATGCCCAGCTGATTTTTTCCCTCTTAATAACCTTGTATTGTTTATATGACGTTAACTTACAATAATGTATATAGTGATTATGGTCTTGCTGCTGTATCTAAGCCTGTATTTTTATATAAATACAATATATAATATAAATAATATAAAAATAATTGTATTTTTGTATCTTGCTCAACCTTTTATAAAAATTTATGTGTTTATATATCTGTTTGAGTATATGCCAGTGGAAAGAGGGCCTCAGATACCCCGCAGCTGGTGTTACATGCAAGTGGAGCTGCTAGAGATGGGTGCAAAGAACTTAACTCAGGCCCCCCAGAAAGCAGCAAGTTCTCGGAACCACTGCACCATCTCTCTAGCACTTGAGCCAGGATTTCTGTGTGTGGTCCAGACTTACCTAGAACTTGCTATGGAGCCCAAGCTGTCCTTAAATT